GTGCCCCAGAGCATTGTCCAAAGGCTCCGTGAGCTCTGTCAGAGCTGCTGTGAGCGCTGCTCTGGGAGCTGTTCAGTGCCCCAGCACCCTCTGGGGCAAGAACCTGTCCCTAATACACAACTAAAGCTCCCCTGACACAGCTTCAGCCATTCCCTCGGGTCCTGTGATGGGCCAGCACAGAGAGGGATCAGGGTCTGCCCCTCCTCATCAGCAAGCTGTAACTGCAATGAGCTCTGTGCTCAGTCTCTTCTCCAAGCTGGACAGACCAAGTGACCTCAACTGCTCCTCTCAAGGCCTTTCACCATCTTCATTTCCCTCATTTGGACACTCTGGGCAGGGACCCAGCAAGAACATGGGGAGCACCTCTCCAAAGTGGCACTGGCTGGTGCATAGCTGGCTCTCCCAAACCTGTTGTCATTCCTGGGCTCTGCCAGTGTGCAGAGCTCCAGGGTACCTCCAGGGAACCTTTCTCTGCACTCTAGCAAGCACAGTCCTCTTCTTCTGCTGTTCTGGGTCTTCTACCTCCTTCAACTTGCATGGGTAGGATGGCAAATCCCTGTATTTGTGAGCCATGCACAGTGCAAAGGGATGTCGAACCATTTCTGCCTTTGCTGTAGGTCTTACTGATGAGAAGGTCAAAGTGAAGTCTGAGCTTTATTTGGGGATGGAAGGTTAATTCTGCTGTATTATTATTTAAGAAAACACTGAAAGGGTTTTCCACACCATCCCTGGGATCCTGGAGGTTTAGAAGTTGCCTTGTACCAGACTCCCACAGTGCTGCTAGATGAGTTCTCCAGGCTGAGTTAGCCTAAAGTTACCATAAGAAATACAAGGAGAAGGGTGCAAACTCCTAGAGAAAGGAAACAGGAAAAAGGGGGGAGGGGGTGGGTAGCAGGGAGGGGACAGGACAGGATGCAGGGGAAGAAAGAAGGAAAATCCATCTCATTCTGACAGCAAGTTTCTCCTGCCTCGTGGGAACAAAACTGACAAGCCCTGACTTTCAGCTATAAGAAAGCCCAGAATGCTGTGAGATGCTGGAAAAAGGAGGTGTGGGAGCTGCAGGCACTGATGTGACTGGCTCCAGCAAACTGCTCTAGCATTACCAGGAGCAAAGAGTCCCAAAGCACAGCCTGCACTGGGAGTGCTCTTCCCAACAATCCCATTCCATGGCAGCTGTTGTGCACTTTTGTGGGATCACTTGCTGGAGTCCTGCATTGTCCAGATGTAGCTTCCCTTCTTGCCCTATCCTCAGCCTCACACTGCCCATCTGAGGCCCTGGGCTTTGTTGAAGGAATTGCTCCACCTGCAAGGATTTATGCCACCATTAACAGGGCTTGAAGAAGACAAGTTGCCAATCCATTGAGTAAATGGGTTGTTTATTTATCTGACATGTAGAGCAGCTTAAGCTGGGTACCTCCAAAGAGGAATCCCAATCAAAGAAATCCTTGGGCAATTAAGTCCTTACAATCTAAGTTCCCCAGCCCTCACATGACAGCTCTGACCACTAATAATATTAGGATCTGGGGTATTCCTGTTCTTTATTGGGTCCCTTCACTGTCTCTGGGTGGGCTGTTCCTGCTCTTATCTCTAAGACTGCTGTGTCAGCTGACCTCATGATGGTACTAGCCTTCCCTGCCTCCTTATCTTCCAGCTCAAACCAGCTCTGGGGCCCCCTCTTACTTAACTTGGTAAAAGTTCAGCCTATCTGGGTGGAAATTCACAACTTGTGGTGTAAGGCTTCATCAAATTTAGCTCCTGATGCTAAGCAAGTTCTGTGTACCAAGCACATAACAGGGGTGCAGTGTTGGTAGGAGATCAGGGGAGTCAATAGCAGGAGCAGAAGAAAGACTCCTAAGAGCTAAGTGGGCCATGTTTTGCAGCTGCACCTGGTGGAACATGTGGCCCAGACTTTGTCTGCAGAGTTCCCTGGACAGCCTGATTAGGATGAGAAAATAATGGACTGGAAAAGTCAAAGGGTGCTTGGCTGCCTTCAGCCCCAGCAGATGTGCCCACCAGGCTGGAGAATGCTGCTGGGAGCCTCATTTTCCCATCCCTGCCCAGCTGACCAACAAGGCTCTGCAGAGCACTTGGTACCATCCTTACCCAGCAGCTGAAACAGCCAGCAAGGAGGGGAGGGAGGTGGTCACACGCTGGGGTTGGTGGGGCATGGCTTTGAGATGTGCTGGAGGCAGGACCCCTTGGTGCAGGGCTTCTCTTGCACTCACGGGCTAGAAACAGGCTGGTAGGAACGTGGAGTAGGAGGCAAGAGATACAGAGAGCAGAGACAAGCCTTGAAGTTAATCATGGAATGTGTAGTAGGAGGGAGAAATGTGACAAGAGGCACCTGACAGACAGAAAAACGATGTCTAACTGTGTTCATTCCCTCTTGGTTGCATATGGGAAAACTGAGGTGGAGGAGGTGGTGAGCAGCTTGGTCGAAGCTCCATGGCTGAGCTTGGATTTAAGCTGTGATTAAATCTGCTTTGCTCCCCATTTGTCATGGTCCCTGCTCAGGTGCTCTCTTCAGCCTGATACTGCCTGTTTCTCTTGTGTGCTGGCAACTTTTTCAGAGAATGGTGCCCACCTGCACAGCTGCAATAGCTGCAAACATTCCCCACATCTGACTCCAGTGGGGGAGCACACCAAGAGCTCTCCAGCCAGCATGAGGGAAAGGAGATTCAGAAACCTCCCTGGCCCATGGCTCATCTGGCTGCAGCTCAGCATTGAAACCACACACACTTTGGCTGGCCAATTGATCTCTGCTTGGGCTGTAATAGAAAGAGACAGCCAGGATGTGTTTTGTCTTCCTGGAGACACCAGAAAGCTTCGTGAGCACCAGATCACCCAGCCCAGGCAGCCCTGGCAGCTCAGCCATGAAAGACAAAAGATCCCTGGGGTCCAGGAGAATTCGGCCAGGCAGCCTGAGCTGCAGCAGGGCTCTTTGCAGGGTTGTGACTAGGCAGGACATCTCCTGGCTGAAAGAGAGGGCTTCATGCTGGTCAAGCCCTTCCCCTGCACAGAAAAGTCTGTGGCTGGGGGAGGATGTGATGCATTTCAGATCTGCGTCATGCTGGGAGGAAACAGCGTCTGGTCTCCGTTCCTCACAAGATAAACGTCAAGACATGCTTCTAGTAATGGATGCCAGAACTTGGCAGGCTCAGACACATCTGTCTGCCTGCCCACTACTGCTCTTTCTCAGCACAGTCCTTTCCCTGCTGCCTGGCTGGCTGGAGAACATCCTGGAGCTGCTCAGGGCTGGTGGGTGAAAGCTGCTGGGATTCCTGCAGAGATTTCAGCTGTGCTTCCTATTTGAAAATAATCCAGAGTGGGCTCTGGTGCGCAGATTTTTTTGCTCTGAGCTAACCCTGTGTCACCAGACAAATGTGCCACAACATGGCAGCCTTTCTGGAGGGAAGATGAAGCTGAGCATCCACTGGTAGAGACCCTGAAGGGTATTTATACCCATAGGAGAGATGGAGTTGCCTTGGAGCTGAGGAAGGATGCCTTGAGAAGGGCCTGAGGTGGCAGGTTTTGTCCCCCCAGGCTGAGGGCTACTCTGCCTCAAGCAGGGGTGTTCCCTTTGAGAAGCTCATGGCTCCTATCCCTCTCTTCAGGCCAGTGCTTGCCAGGCAGCCTCTCCTCACCTCTGTGCCTGGTTGTTGTCAGAATGCAATTGAGCCAAAGGGTGATTGCATCTCCTGCTTGGGCTGTAATGCAATCACTGCCAGGGCCACTGCAAAGGCTCCCTGTGTAGCAGTGTGGAATGTGCCTGAGGCTTTTTCAAGATGTTATTTGAAACACCAGTTTCTGATCTCCCCTGGGGGTGGGTTCCTGGACAGGTCACACCAGTGGGGTGGTCTGCAGCACGTGTCCCTGCTTTCTCCAGCCACAGGCCATGGAGGGGAGATCTCTGTGCACCACACAGCCCAGTGCAGCTGATGGATGCAGGAGCTGGGTGCCTGAGAGCAGCCACCCTCACACAACCACCCTGCTCATGGCACAGCCCTGGTGTCCCCACCACAGCTGTCCCCAGATGTGTCAGACCTGCCACATCTCATACAGGTGAGAGCAGAGACTGCCCAGCTCTGATGGGGCACCCTGGAAGTTCACAAGGCAATCACTGGATGTTGCTGGGCTGCTGCAGCCACCCTGCCTATCCCGCTGTGACAGCACCCAGCTGACTCCTGCCATTCTCCAAAGCCCCTCACAACCCTGCTTTCCCTGCCACACCAGCTGCCAGAGGCTTTTGGGGCCACCCAGCTCCCCCATCACAGATGGAGGATGGGATGGCACAGGCTCTGGCAAGCTGCTGGAGAAGTGCTGCCCAACAAGGATGACTCCACGCCTTCCCCAGAGCCCTCCAGGTGCTCCCCACCCTTGTGAGGTGGCTGTTGCTCTGGAAGGTCCCCACCCCACGAGAGGAATGAGGCAGGAGCCAGTGTCACCCTGCTCATTGTCATTCCTGGGAAGGGAAACCTCTGCCACTGTGTGGGGTGGGTGCCAGGAGGGGGAAAGCCACAGGTATCAGGAAGGTGTCTCTGGCCCATGACACATCTTGCTGGGGGTCATGTCAAGGTGGCAGCTCACCCACCAGGGTCCCTGGGAGCCACAGAACTCCTGTGGAGAACAAGGAGGGCTTGCTCAAGGCAGCAACAGAAAGGGGGGTGATGGCACCCGGCCACAGCAGCAGCAGCACTGTGGAAAGGAGACAAAGGGAAGTGCAGGGCCAAAGCCCAGTGCTGAGTCAGGCTGAGCAAGAGCTGCCTCCCTCCAGCCTCCCATCCCCACTGATTGTGAAATGGACACTGGGGCCTGGAGCAGGGCCTCCATCCCCCATCCTTATCTTTGCTCTTCCTCCTCCAGGACTGTGCCCAGGACAGCAAGAATTTGTGCAAAACGAGGCTGAGAAGCTCTGAGGCTAATTAATTTGTAGCTGCTGGTAATGTTGAATGGGTCCCTGGAGAGTCCAAGGCTAAAGCAGAGGAGAAAGTGCAGAGAGATACTGGAAAATTACTGTTTAATTCTTCATCATTACATCTGAGTATATGGCATCTGGTAGACACAGGAAAAGGCAGATAATGACCCAGCCACTTCTGCAGCCCTTCCCCAGCAGCAGGGGCAGCCAGGCCCCTGGAGGGATGGCTCCAGCCCTGGGGAGGGCTCAGTGCCTGGTGGGATGTTTGTCCTTGGGCTGGCAGTGCCCCTTCCTGGCCCTGCAGCCATCAGTACTCCTGCTGAGTGTCGCAGCCAAGGAACTCTACTCGCAGGGCAATGTGGTTGTGCCACTGGCGGGGGTGTATCCTCACATAGCGGGCAAAGAGAGGGGGCTCCAGGCTATTCCTCACTGTGCTCTGATGGTCTTGGTTTGCCTTGAAAATCTGGAGAGGAGAGAGAAACCCAGGATGCACTTGGCTGGCATAGTGAGGACAGGATCAACCCAGACAAACACCCCTTGGCACGCTTTAAAGAAGGAAGAAGCACAGCCTGGCTCACTGCTCTTGGAGAGAAATCCTGTGAGCATGTTTGCTGCCAAGGGCTGTGCTTGCTGCCCTGGGGGTGGCCATGGGCTCTGGCCACAGAGCAGCCCTGCCTACCTTCTCCTTGCCATTTTGCAGGACTGGGCTCCAGTGCATGCCATCCTGGCTGATGGAGACAGCAAACTCCTTCACAAACATCTGGGTGAAGAGAGCTTTGGCACCTTGGGTTATGATTGCAGTCACCTTCTTGGTTACTTCAAAGTCCACCTGCAGCCACTCTCTGGGGCTGTTGCTCTGGGGAAGGACAGACTGTCTTCAGCCCTCCAGCAGCAATGAGAAAGACACACTCATTGCAGCTGAAGCCAAGCTGGTCCTGCACTTCCCTCTGCTCCACCTGCCCTACCAGACATCTGCTCAGAGCTGCTGGGTGCTAAATCAGCGTGGCAGTGAGTGTGCAGCTTGCATGGTGCATGTGGCTGCACACACTTCCCACACTAGGGGACCCTGCTGGGCTCCCAGCTGCCTGCTGTCTCCTCACACAGGCTACCTGTGGCCTCCAGGCGTTGGTCCTGCCCTGAAGGTTCAGGCGGGCCAGGGCTGGTGTCCATCTGGAGAAGATGTTGGCGCTGTGGGAGGATGCAGTGATGTGCTCATCAGGGATCCCTCGGTTCTCCATTCCTAAGGGCATGGAGCAGCCTGGAAGAGAGGAGCAGTGCTTGTCAGGGGCTAGAACAGACCCACCATGGAGATGCCTTCTGCCTGCTCACTGCTCCAGCTGCCCTATGTGCCTTTGCCCTGGTTACCAGTTCTGTAGTGCCATGGTCCCTGCACTGCTTGGGGCCCCTGTGTGCAGCATGGCTCTGACCTAACTACTCCCACCTTCTTTTCTCCCCTGAGATTTTATCTAAGAGGAATGTGAAGAATTTCTGGTGTAAGGAAACATAAGGAGAACCTGTCTCCAGAGGGAGGACAAGAATACCTGGCAGGGAGACACCCTGCATATGTGTGACCAGGTGTGCTTGTGCACAGCTGCTTCAGAGCCAGCTGGCAGGTTTGGGGCATGGGCTGACAGCACAGCCACTGCTGCTTTGAGCTGCTGCAGAGCAGGTGTGCAAAGCCCAAGCCACGATCCCAGGGCACCATTTCCCCAGGCTGCACTGTTGATCAGAGCCATCTCACCTTCAACTGGCAAAACCAGACTAAAAACCAACAGCATCTGTCTCTGCTTGCTTCCTGCTCCCCTACACTGAAGCAGCAGCTCTCCATCCACCATCTTAGCTGCTGCTGGAAGTTTCCTGTACTTCAGTAAAAAAGCTGGTGAGAGGTGGCCCCAGTTCTCCCTCTGCGATTTTTCTCTCTAAGACCACAATGAGACTTTCCAGCTTTGTTCCCTCAACACCTCAGTGCCATCTCCAGCTCCCTCCTTCCTCCTCCAAACTGCCTGGGGGTCCTGGCACACGTGGAGCTGGGGCTCAGCACCCCAGCAGAGCAGAGCAGAGCAGAGCAGAGCAGAGCAGAGCAGAGGGCAGTTCTGGTGGCTGGGATGTGAGGGGGGCACGCACTGTTGAGGTCGCAGCCCAGGAGCTCCATGCGCAGTGTGGCCCGCAGGTTGTAGTGGGTGGGGTGGATGCGGATGTACCGAGCTACCACTGGGGGCCTGAACCGGTTCTCTTTCACTCCACTTGCATCCACGTTTCCAAAGAACAGCTGCAGGGAGAGGGAGGAAAAGGATTGTTGCACCAGGGGAAAGAGAGATAGGCAGGACAAGGATTACTGGGGAGAAGAATGTTCATGTCTGGCACATAAAAATGACAACTCAGGGAAATTATTTCAGGTGAGGTTCAGGTCAAAGAAGTGTGAGTGGGCCAATGAGAAAGAAAAAGAGAAGAAGAAGATTTGGGTCTGTGCAAATTAACTTGGTTTTATATTTTTCACCAAACAAGGGTGAGAAAAATAAGGAAAAAAGTCAGTCCTCAAACGTTTGAACCTGGGAAAAGTTGTAGCCACAGATGATGCACACAATGGAGGCTTTTCTGGCTACTCGTATTCCAATGGATTGATCAGTTTATGCATATTTAGGTTGTGGGTTTTTTCTAGCGACTGGAGATTCTCCAAATCATCCGTGCCTGCACAATATTTTTAGAAAGGCAAATTTGCCTTTGAGGTCAAAAAAGATGGTCAGGTAGAATCTTATGCCTAGCTCTAAGTTAAACACAACATAACATTGAGAGGTGGATCTCACAGCCACCTGGGATGGTGGAAAGAGGTAGCTCAGATAGTTTAAAATCAGACAGATGAGACAGCAAGTCCCTTGCAGACCTGTGATTCAGCCACCTGGCACTGAATGGTCTCTGTTGCTGCCCTAATCTCAGGGGCTCAGGAGGTTTCTGCCTTGTGGACAGAGCTCCCTAGCCCTCCTCACCCCAGGATACCCCATCTGGGGAGAGCACTCTGCTCAAGATCCTTGACCTCACCATCTGTGTGCTCGTGGCATTCCCCTTGTATGTCTTCCACCTTCGCCCATCGAGGCTGTAGAACACAACAAACTGGGAGATGTAGAAGCTGGAGAACTTTTGTCTGGCCCCTTGGGTTTTTATGCCGTGAATAATAGTGGGATGCAAAAGATCCACCTGAGAATGAAAATCAGTGATTCACTTCTAATGGAAAACCCAAGCCATGTTCAGGTAATGCCCCAAAAACCCAAAAACTTGCTTCCTCCTGACATAACTGAGCACTGGTTATGAAAGTAATTAAACCAGTTGTTCATAAGGGCACAAGTCAGCCAACAGCTGGGAGTGAGCAGGGGAGAGCTGTTTGGAGAGGTGAGCTGTTCTGCCTTGGTCCTTGGGGGATTTTTGCACAATCCAGTGCTGCAGCTGGACCATGAAGTGATTCCTCTGCTGCACTGAGGATGGATATGGGGGGCAGGCCAGCAGCAACCTGAGCAGAGCAGCTGCCATTAGGATCTTAGCTCTCCCCTCTCAGAGGGAAGAGGAAACAGCAGGAATAGCTGTTTATAGCTGGGGAGGCACTGTCCATCATGAGCATGGCCTTGCAATGCCCCCAGTGGTGCCTCAGACACGAGGCCCCTCTTACCTGGATCCAGGCGTTGCTGCGGTCGGTGCTCCAAGCGTTGATGGAGCCGGTGTTGTCCAGCCTGGCCAGGTAAGGAGCCCACTGCCCTGCAAGGAGGGAGCACAGACACAAGGCTGCTGCTGGCCCTTGCTGCTGCCCAAGTGGTGAGAGCTGCATCCACAGCACTGGGCCTGAGGATCACCCTGGGGTTTAGTAGCCACAGGCAGGGTGGCAGAGCGCTGGCACCATGGGCCAGCTGTGTGTGAGGGCTCCAGGTCCTGACTGGGACGCTGGCATGGGCACGGATGGAGGAAGGACTCCACTACCAGGGACTCAGTGCAGGAGAACTTGGGCAGGCAAACATGTGAGTTCTGCTGGCTGAAGCTGCCCTGAGCCCCCCTGCCCTCCAGCTACTCACCATACTGCCCTGAGGCTGTGATCTGAGAGTCTGCAATGCTACCTGAGGCCATACCCAGGGCATTCTGGCAGTCTGCAGGGAACAGAAACCAGGGACAGTTGGTTAGACAGCAAAAGTCTAGGCTGGGTAGCAGCCTTCAGGCTCAGGGAGGTTTGCAAGCCTCCAGGAGCTCCCAGGCTTGTTTCTCTCATACCAAGGGATATGTTTCAGAGGCTTCCACATCCATCTCTGGATTTTAAGATAGCTGGAAGTTCTTGCTCACACCTCCCATGTCAAGAGCAGAGAGTTTCCAGCATCAGACACAGCAGCCTTTTGCCAAACTCCTTTCCCTGAGTCCATGACCTCTCATTCCCATGTCCTAATGTCCCAGCAGTGCTGACAAGTGTCTCTTCCTTATATCCTTATACCTACATCTTGCTCCTGGGCCTTTTTGTTGCTAGGCAGCATCTCTTGAAAACAAATATCACATTGCTAAAGGAAAGTCTACCTGACACCCTTGTCTCTCTCTGTGTCTCTTCTGGTCTCTGAGCACAGGGATGTTTGTCTCTTATAATAACCATTATTATTAGTGACTTGTCACACCTTGGCATCTCCACTGCATGTCAAATGCTCCTGGGGAAAATGCAAATTTGAAATCTTAAGCGGATTTTTAACTTATGGCAACCTTTTCTGGCTGACATTTAATATTCTTTTATAAACAGAAGAGAGACTGTCGCAGTGTGATAAAATACTACTCTCCCACACCACTTCCCCAGTCCTTACTTATGGTGAGTTAGAAACATGTTGTTCTGGGGTGGAATCAGAAGTTTACTGTGGATTTTGCAGTTGCTCTTGGAGCTATTTCTATCAGACCAACCTGCAGTAAGGCAGCATCACTCACTGCCTCCTGTCATTGCTCTGTGCCTCAGTTTACCTCCTGATACATGGCTAGGCAGCACTGTACCTTACTGACAGCATGGGTAGGGAGCAGCCCATGCATGCACTTCCTTGGGTAAGTGCATTTTGTGAAAGGTCCAGGGACCCTCAGATTTGGCAGACAAGAGCTCTTGGAATAAATATTTGCAGGCCAATGAAGGTGGCCTCCCAGCCTTCACCCCAGCTGTGTCCCTGACTCTGCTCTCTGCTGGGCTGTGCAGGCTGGCAGGGGCTGAAGTAGCAACTTTTTTTCAGAGTGAAAACACAGAAGGTCCCACTTGGGTCACCCCAAGAGAAATGCTGAGAGATGTGGGGGAGAAAGCTCAAATACACACTGGTCATGGCTGCCTGTGTGCCCACATGGGTCAGGACACAAGAAAATCACTCACTCAGGTCATACACCAGGAAGAGGGCACTCATTCCAGCTTCTTGGTGCTCTCCCACTTTGCACTCCACCCTCCAGATGCCAGCATGTGAGGGCCACATCTCCACTGTCCCAAAGACACCTGGCCAGGAAAGGAGAGCAGAGCAGAGCGGAGTTACTGCCTGTAATGGGACACACTGTGCCAAGTGCTGTGCAAGCACAGGGACGGAACAGTCCAGATCCACTTCCCCTCCTTGGTATTCCCCCACAGAAACTTCCTGAGGGCACAAGCCCTGGCAGAGGGGGTGCACAGTGCTGCCTCTCACCAGGATAAAGGTTGTAGACTCCCATGCGATACTCCTGGCTGGTCCTGACGTTGAACAGCTGCCCGTGGAAGTGAACAGAGTGGATGTCCTCAGTGCTGCCCATGTTCAGGAGGTGCCATCGGACCCGTTGCTGCTGGGCCATCACCAGCCCAGGCAGGGTGTCACTCACATAGCCATTGATGGCTGGGAAAGGCAGCAGTCAGGAGGGGCTCAAGGCTCTGGGGTATTCCCATCCTGCTATGGGCTGTGGGATGGAAAGGGCAAGGAGCCTCACCGTGGAAGGAATGGTTTCTCCTGAAGTCAGGGCTGTCCTGCTGGAGCCGGCAGGGAGGGCGGCAGTTTCTGGCCACGTTCTCTGGGAAGTACCAGCTTTTGGTCTCGTCAAAGATGGTGAAGAGCAGGGAGAACTCCTGCACAGCCAGCTGCCTCCTGGAAACGTAGCTCAGCACCCCACGGTTGCAGATGATCAGAGGCCCGATGAGGCCTGAGTGCAGGTCCTTCTCCTGCCAGGGAGCCAGGGAATAAGGGGCTGCCTCTGAGCAGGGGGAGGCACTGACACCAGCAAGAGACAGCCGAGAGGAAAGCACTGAACCTGTCTGCATCCCTGGCCTGGCTCCCTCTCTGGAGGGATTCATTTGTTGGGTTCACCGAGCTAAGAAAGGCTGAGCAGCAAGCATTTGCATGTGCTTTCAAGAGATGTGGTGTCTGTCTGTCCAACTGTCCAACAGTCCCTACTGCGCTGGACCCCGGGGCCAAATTCAGGAAGATTTGGCATGGGGGTAAGGAACTGCAGAATGCTGGTTTCTTGTAAGTATCATAAGCTGGAATAATTGGGGAAAGGGGTGAAAACCAAATGGGGGAAGGGAAGGGGAAGAGGAAGGGGAAGAGAAGGAGGAAGGGGAAGAGAAGGAGGAAGGGGAAGAGAAGGAGGAAGAGGAAGAGAAGAGCACCAGCATGTATTCATCATTGACACCTGAGAATCTACACAGTCCCAAGCTGCTTTCAGCGCAGCCCCATAGGAAATTCCTGACCTCCCAGGAGGACCCAGGCATGCTGCCCTCCTCCCCTTCCTGGGATGCCCCATGGGGACTCCCACCTACCAGGTCCACATTGGAGAAGTAAGCCCAGGCCTTGCAGTCAAACTCCTGCGTGGTTGGTGCCATCTGGGGCAGGACTTTCCAGGTGTATTTCTGGTGGCCACCAGGCTGCACCACCCCACCCTGCTGTGCTGTGCCCTCATAGGCTGTCAGTGTGGAGTGGAAGGAGAAGGGCCGTGAGGCCAGGTTCTTGAATGTCACCTGCACCAGAGAGAAGGCAGAGCAGTGGAATGTGTGAGGGAGCAATGCTGACAGTGCTCTGGACCCTGGTGGTGGGTCCAGCCAGCTGGTGGGAAGGATGTCCCTGGTTCCCAGGCCTCCAGCTGGTCTCCATGCAGTGGCCAACCCTTGCTGAACCAGAAGCTGTAGCTGTGCAGTGCAATCTCTGGTGGAAAGCACATCCTGGGTTCATGTCAGACCCAACCCCTGCTGAACCACAAGCTGTAGCTGTGCAGTGCAATCTCTGGTGGAAAGCACATCCTGGGTTCATGTCAGACCCAACCCCTGCTGAACCACAAGCTGTAGCTGTGCAGTGCAGTCTCTGGTGGAAAGCACATCCTGGGTTCATGTCAGCAGGATGAGGCCCTTTGCCTGCTCAATGGAAGCAAGGTCAGCTACACTACTGTCTCTGGAGCCCAAAGGTGCTGCACCCATCCTGGTGAAGATTTCTGTGAAAACTGGGCAACTTCTCCAGGGACACAAGTCCTGAGCCTTTCAACTTCTTCTCAGATAGGTGTTGAAGGAGCTTTGGTAGTGTGGGAAGACCAAGCCTCCCTTAATACAGAGCACCTAAAAGAGCTGCACTGAGCCCTGCTGAGCTCACTGCCCTTTTTGCATCCCTTCACCCAAAAGGCTCCCCATGGAACCCAGGAGCTGATCAGGCCATGCTGTTGCAGGGGTTGGGTCTGGCTCAGGTCCAGGGCTTTGCTTCTGAACACTTTGAGGTTCCTGCTGGCCCACTCCTCCAGCCACTGAGGTCCCAGTCTGGTGCCATTCACATGCCAACAGGGCAGCTCCTGTCCCCAAGTCCCATGGGCACTGCAGAGCAGCACTCCCTCTGGCTGAACTCCAACAACAACAACAGGGGGATTCATGGTTTTATAGAAAATGGGAACTTTCTACTCACCATGATGACATCCTGAACTTCTGCCCTGATGTAGGGCCCGAGGATGCCCAGGTGCTCATCCAGCTCTCTCCGCTGCACCGGCTGCGTGAAGGAATCGTCCAGGTACTCTCGGAAAACCACCTTGCGGTACTGCCAGGAGTGCTTCCCCCTGCTCCTCCGGGGGTCCCTGCAGGGGTGACAGTCAGCTGAGTCAGGGGACACTGTCCCACAGCGAGGACAGCCACGGCAGGGTTGCTACAGGTCAGGGGGATACAGAGCCAGAGCATCCCTGACCCACTTGCAAGGAAGCTCAAAGTTTCTGGAGGTTTAAACCCCCCTGGGTAGAGGGGAGATGCTGGGAACATCCTTCCCCTGGGCTGCTTGGCTGGGTTGTACTGGCACAGAATTGTGATCCTGCCTGCCAGGACATGCCATCTCATGCATCATTGTGACCGTGTTCACAGGGGTCTGAGGAAGAGGGAAGAGATGAGGATCCGACTCCATGTTTCAGAAGGCTTGATTTATTATTTTATGATATATATTATATTAAAACTATACTAAAAGAATAGAAGAAAGGATTTCATCAGAAGGCTAGTTAAGGATAGAAAAGAAGGGATGATAACAAAAGATTTTTTCTTGGACAGAGAGTTTGAGCCAGATGACTGTGATTGGCCATTAATTAGAAACAACTCTATGAGATTAATCACAGATCTACTTGTTGCATTCTACAGCAGCAGATAATCATTGTTTACATTTTGTTTTTGAGGCCTCTCAGCTTCTCAGGAGAAAAAAATCTTAAGGAAAGGATTTTTCATAAAAGATGTCTGTGACACATCATGCTGTGCCTTGCAGTGCAGGAGGAATGCATGCAGGAACATCACACTTACGTTGCTTTTAGGAAGTGCTGGGGTCTCTGGTCCCCGTACTCCCACATCACCTCCACTGCTGCAATGAAGTACTGCCGCATCTCCCCCTGGAAGGAGCGTGGGTCATGCTCCTCTTCCCCATACATGTCAAAGTCCTCCATGGTCTGCTCTGTGTCACTGTACTCATCATAGTCTGTCTTGGCAGTCCTTGAGGGGCTGGAATGTGTCCCATTGTTCAGGGCTGGTTCCTCTCTGTGCCCTGGGATGTGGCTCCTCTCTCCAGCTGTGCTGTTGCTTTCCTCATCCTCCTTAGGCTCTCCTAGGCCCAGCACCTCTCTGTTCCCTATTTCTCTGAGGACATCTTCTCTGCCGAGCACCTGACATCCATGAGGAGTGTCTTGCACATGCTCTGCTGGCTTTCTGGTGCTGTTGTTGAGAGGGGGACTACTTGGAGACAGTGAACAGTTCTCTCTGGTGGCTGATTTCAGAGACATTCCTTCTGGGCTTTGCCCAGACCTTCTCCCAGGCACATGGTCCTCCGTGGCATTGGCCTTGAGCTGCTGAGGCTCAGGACTGGACTGACCCAGCTGCTCCACAGAGTTTGTCTCCTCCTCCATGTGGCTTCTCCCCTGAGCTTGCTCTCTCCCAGGAGCCCCCCACACCACAGCTCTGCCTGGTTGCAGCTCGGGCACAGCTGGGCTGTGCAAGTCCCCCATGTTCACCACAGCCCCTGGGGAGTCTGGGTCCCAGTTTGAGGCCAGGTCTGCAGCCTCAGCAGTGCCCTGCCTTTCTGAGCTGCTCTCTGCCCCTGCTAGTCCTGTGCCCAGTGCTCCCCATGAGGGCAGGGATCTTTGTGGGGCTGCCATCACCTCGGGCAAGGTGTCACTTGATACCAAGGACCTCTTCTTGAATCGAGTGATGCAAAATGGAGAATGAGGTCCACACGCCTTTGGAGCTTCCTTATTCACTGCTGTCTCAGGGGGCTGGCTGTTCCCCTGCTCTGCCCCATCAGAGACAGGCTTTCTGCTGCTGGTGTTGGGAAGACCCAAACCTCTGCTCTCCAGTGACCTGGCTTGTTTAGCTGGTCTCCAGTCAGGGCTTCTGGCTGTAACTCTGTGTCTCAGAAACTGCTCAGAGCTCTTTAAGAAGCCATTTGGGAATGGCCTGGTGTCATTGGTCACAACATTTGATTCAGAAAGGGCAATACTGTCCAGCTCTGCTAATTCCTTAGCGTCCTGAAACACTTCTTTCAAAACTACTTCATCCCTCTCTTCTGTCATTACATATCTGGGTGGCTCAAGGTCATTGCTGTTTGCAAAGGTGGTGTCTGGAAGGCCTTTGGCAAGTCCACTGGCTTTTTCTGTGCCACTTTTTGCAGGCAAGGGGTTGCTCTCATCTGTGAAGGTTTCTCCTGGTACAGGTTTGTCTGACAAAGAAATATTTTGCTCTTCAAAAGTTTCGTAAAAGCCTTGTGAAACCACTTTGTGAGGCCTTTTGTCCAGCCTAGCATCTAGGTCATTTGATGAATAATTGCTTTCTATGGTGTGACTGTGAACCACAGCATGAGAAGTCCTACTATCTTCTGTCTCATCTGGAGGTGCAGAAGGATTGTTCAATGTGGAGGAAGAGTTGTGATCAATACTTAGAGACAGGCCTGTACTGATTGTCTCCTCTGAATCATACAGGTTAAAGGATATTTTATCAGCCCTTTTTAGCAACTTGTCCTCTTTTCCCTTTGAAGACACATCTTGAAGTGCCAGGTTGTGCTCCAGATCATTCTGGTGAATTGAGCTCCCATTCTCCTGAAGAGGGCCTTTGCTAGCAGCATAAGCAATGGAGTCCCACAAGCTTGTTGCATGAGTAGCTGTCTTTTGAGGCTCTGCTTCCAGGTTCTCTATTCTACCACCAGACTGGACTGTCATTCCTTTTACTGGCTCCTGCAGCTCTGGAGCATCTCCTGGAGCTGCTGTGGCTTGGTGCAGCCATTGCTGATCTTCTTCTGAGCTCACAGTACCATGGACCCTTCCACTGACGCTCGCCAAGTGTTCTCCAGGTGGGACTGCTCCAAACCCTTCCTCCTGGCTGGTGATTTTTGACAATTCTTCATCTTCCAAGAAGGACTCATAGGACACTGGGTCATAGCTCGTCTCTGGCAGAGGAGCCATGGAAATATCATGTGGATTTGACATTGTTCCTAAAAATGTTGATGTGCCATTGGAAGAGGCATCAGAAATCTTGCCATTGCTCTGGAGGGCCCCATGTTCTGTCAGGCACAATCTTGTCTTCTCTATCTCATTTCTGGAAGAGGTGATGTTGTTCAGTTGCTCATTCACACATGACTTCTTTCTTTTAGAGAAGCCCCTGGGCTGGAGTTCAAAGGCCACCTCCTCCCCATCAGAATACACATAATCTTCCTCATCAGTGTATTGCTCATACTGGCACTGTGACACCGTGAACTTGGCATGCATCCCTCGGTCCCTGAAATCAGGATTTAGGCACCCCAGCGTCCACACACCTGTCTCAAGAGAGGCCAAAAGGACACCATCAGCCCACTTCAGTGGGAAATTAAAGAGATGCCATTACCATGCTGCTCCCTTGCTAGTGCAACCTGTATTTTCAGGCAACCTCTGGCTCATGGTAGTGATTCCATGCTTTCATAGTCCCTAGAGTGTCTTACAGCCAGACCCACAGGGTTGCTGGCAACATCAGAGCCTTACAAGCACCATCAGCAGGGCTGGCAGAGCTTAGTGAGCTCCACACACCTGTGAGGGCCCAAGTACAGCTTGGTGAGAGCAGTTAATGCAGTGAGAACCCATGGAGCCTCCAGCAGCAGCAGCAGTCACCATAACCCATCCCCAAAGACATCCTGATGCTGTCAAACACACCTCTCTCCCAAAGACAGTCAGCACAGCTCTCCCACTGAAGGAGAAAGAAATGAAAGGCTGCCTCTCTCTCACATCCCCAGCCAGTGTGTTTGCTCCCAGCAGAGGGTGAGATGTGTGATTTCTGGGCTTTGCTGCTGGAGAGAGCTGCCACCTGCTGCCGGCTGAGCTGCTGCTCTGCTTCTGAGGAAGCAGAGGAATCTGAGCTCAAACGGATGTGAGGCTTGGCTGGGCTGTAGAAAGCTTCCTGGGGTGTCTACAAACCCTGACAGCTTGGTTCAGGCTGCAGTGCTCATGACCTTCATATCAGTGTTGCAACCACATGGTAAATCCTGTGTCTTCTCTGCGAGGAGGAAATGGTTTGACAGCTCTAAGAGAAAAGTGCTGAGTGAGGGGAACTATAACTGAACTCTGAAGCAAATCTTTTCTCTGACTTCTCTGTGGCTGTGGTTTCTGTCCTTGCAGAAGTGTGGAGATAAATGGCATGACCAACAGCTGAACCCACAGCAGGGACAGCACTGCCACTCCCCTTCACCTCCAAGCTTGGAGCCAAGATTGCAAATGTCCACCAGGCTCATGTTACTGCAGCCAGCTACTGGTTTGGCAGCATGTGTGACCTTAACACACCCTATTGATTAAGTAAAATACTGTAATTCAATTTATTTGATTTAAGCTTTGAAAGATTCGATCACTGCCTCTCACTTTGCTGTTCTAGCCGGCTGTGGATCCCTTTGCTCTCAGAACTGTCAAAGGGAATTGGGCACCCATCAGGGAACTGGCTGGAAGTGCTCATTGATCTCTGCTGGGATGCCAAGCCCACGGTTGACAGAATAGCCCATGTCACTAACCTGGCTTTTCCAAGCTCATGACAACTGTTTCTCCAGAAAACGGGAACAGAGTGAGCACGTCCTCAAAGACCATGTTGCGCTTGAAGGTGTTTCCAGAGAAGAAGATGGAGAGGAAATCTGTTTGGGCCCCAACACTCAGGACATACCAGTACACAACGTCGTTCAGGCAGAGTTTTGTTTGCAGGTTGTCAAATACAAAGCCATTAATAGCTGGAAGAGGGCAGGGGTGAAACATTTCAAGACCAAATTCCCTCCATGGCTGCTGAGCTGCTGTGCATCCCCCGCTCACTCCCTGGGGCAGGGATGAGCCTGTGTCTGTGGGGGCTTTGCAGGGCTGAGTACTCACTGTGCATCACATTGGAGGCATAAAACTGAGGGTCCTGGGTATCCACATGGGCTGCATCAGAGCAGAACCTCTTGATGTTCTCCTCCAGGTACCAGCTGTGGTTCTCATCAAAGACTGAAAACAGCACCAACTTCATGTTGTCTGACATTATCTGGAAAAGAGAGGGAAGAAATTATTCCTGGTCTGATCAGAGCACCCCTGGTGCCCAGTGTAGCTGTCAGGTCTCAGACTGGGTGTATGGAGAAGTTTACTGCTATTTCACAGGAGTTAGGGTGCAGATCTGGTGAAAAGAGAGCATGCAAGGGAGGATGGGGAAGGCAGTCATTAGGACTGCTGGTAGGGTTCAAGAAAACAGGACAGATACATTTTGGTTTACTTAAATATTCACCTACCACAGTCATTCCAGCCTTTCAGCCTAGAAGTTGAGGCAACAAAGGAAAGACCCACCTGATTTCCCCTCTGATCCATGGACTTCTTGGAGCAGATGAGGAGGGGCCCAATCAGGCCTGAGGCAGTGTCTCTGATGGGGTTGATGGAGCTGTAGTAGAAACGGGTGAGGCAGCGAGGATCTGCCTCCGTTGGGCCATCCTCAGTGGTGAGACTCCAGCTGTAGGTGAATGACTTCCCAGGGGCAATGGCAATATCCTTCACATCTTTCTCTGGCAACACACAACCCAAGAACAGACCAGTTATGTCTGGGCTGCTCCTGCAAGGGGTGATCCCACTTTTTAAAAGAGCTCAGAAAGGTTTCCTGACCACACCAGCTGCAGAGGGAACCACCCATGCCCATCCCAGGATCCTGGTGGGATGTGGGATGGCCCTGCACAAGTCATGGTCCTGGGAGCACAGTAACAAGAGGTGAAAGCAGTTCTGAGAATGAAACCTGGAGGAAAAAAAACCAACCCCAGAGCAAAAACTACAAAGCTGCAAGAGGGAGAGTCTAAATCACAGTGAACCTCCCCACAAATGCAGGTCAGAGGAAGCCCAGGGAGTGAGGGCTGTAAATAAACTGCAAACACAGGCAGGATCACCAGGATGGTTCCTGCCTTGCCAGAAAGTGGAGGGCTCCAGGATGGACCAATTAACATGGTCCCAGCTCCCTGGTTGAAAATGCCCCTGCTCCCACTCATCATTGAAGCCCTCCTTAAAGACAGGGTTACATGGCACCAATGGGAACATGAACCCAGAATCACCATAATCCCTGGGATTTTAGAGCTCAGGTTCTTGGATGAATGGACAACCAGTCTTACCACAAGCTTCAGGAAACTCTCCTGGCCCAGAAAAATGGCAGTGGCCAGGTGATATCCCAAGTTCCCGTGGCCTGCCTTACCTTGTGAGCGTCTCATGGCATAGTAGGGCCTGACACTGGTGAGGCCATGAGGGTAGATGTTGTAGGGTCGGCTGGCTAGATTCCTGAACACGATCTGAAATGAGGACAGGCAGCAGGAATGGTTTTTGATCACTGTTTTCTGGTGTTTTGGTGCTTTCTGATCACTGCAAGCCCTCGAAGCTGCTGTGAGGTCCTTGCAGAGAGGGAAACACTGGACAGCATTGCCCAGGGGTTAGCTACCTGCCAGTGATCAACAGGAGGGACCCAGACATGTCTGGGATCACAAAGTCAGATTACAAGAAACCACAATTTCTCTGTGATGAGCCTATGCTGTTCATTTTTCTGGGAGGAGTCTGTTGTAAGGAGGGCATGAAAATATCAGATTGATTAAAGTGAAAGTTGCTGTCCTTAGTATTACTTTACACATGAATCAGAAGAGGGCCATCAATCCAGGAGGACCAGGACGTTAAGTATGCACAGCAATCAAGAGCTTTAAAGTGCTCCCCACTTCACTGCATGAAGCCCTTCCTTTATTTCTCTAAACAGCTCTGTCACATGCCCACAGCTGCACAGGGAACCCCAGGGAGGGAACAGAAATGTGAAGCTGCTGGAAACCATCCCATTCCTCCCAGCTGCAACAAGTCAAGTGGTCAGGAGAGGCACTTTGGGAGACAAAAGTGACAGTGCCCAGTGCTATGAGGTAACAGCAAACAGATGGAGAAGAGCAGAGGATGAGAGGACACTCCTGCCTCAGAGGAAGGTGCTGGATGTGATGTGTCGTGTATTAACTCACACAGTTCCTAAGACACCTGCAAAGAAGTCAAACCAGAGGGACTGGGCCATATCCTGTGCATCTTACTGACAGTATTTACCTTAAGCTGCCAGTACCATCTGCCTTTCCAGTGAACTTTGAGCATTGCCAAACATGAGAGAGCACTGAATGACTAAAGTCAGACCTCAGCCACAAGCCAAGAGCTATTAGTAGGAACAGCATCAAGCTCTGAAATTTCCCCTTGCAGTGGTAAGCTGTGTTTCTCTTACCTTAAACTGATCTCCCACCTCCCCCTTGATGACAGGCCCCAGAATTCCCTTGTCCTGCTGGTTGGACACCTTGCGCTTCCTGAAGGCAGCATCCTCATACTCCACAAACACCACCTTCTTGTACTTTGAGCCCACCCTCTGTGGGCCAGGCTCCAGGTACAGGCTCGACATGTTTCTGCAGGCAAAGGCAGAGAGAGAGCAAATGGCCACATGTCAGAAACAGAGCAGGACCTTCCATCATCCAAGGACCTGGATGATGGCTGAGAAGGTCACCAGGAGTTGCTGTCTGCTCAGAAGGGACTGATTCCAGAGGCCTTGGTGACAGAGACAAATGCCCTGGAGACAAATGTCTCTGCAGGGCATTTGGTAAAATGGAAGAAAGCCAGGTGCTGCTTTCCCATGGCCTTTCCAAAACCATTCTTGTCCTGCATCCATACTGTTAGTGTTAATAAAGAAGAGCAAAACTGTCCAGGTTGGGCAGAATGAAAAGCAGTTTCTGGGGAAAAGGGGAAGATCTGGCAGGGCTGCCTTGAGGAGCACACATGCCCACTCTCACCTGTCCAGAGACGCTGGCTTCACAGGGGCATAGTCCCAGTCCATCTCCTCAGCTGCAATGTAGTAAGTCCAGGTCATGGGCCTGTCTTTGGCAAAGGAGCGTGCTTGGATCACGTGAAAAGTTTGCTCATCTTCCTCAGGGTAATCCAGGTCCTCTGGCTCATTTAACTGCTTCCCTGTTTTCAGCAGGCGTTCCTCAGGACACTCCTCCACCTTCACAAAGGCCTCCATGCCAACTGGGGTCAGACAAGCCAGGCAGAAAGGGTCACACTCATGTGCCAATACAGGCAGGCACCCACCCAAGCCCTGCCTGGAAATTTCTCCATTATTTTTCCCATCAAATGGGCCAACCTGGATCAACCCACATCATCTGGTATGGCCAGGCTGCAGGTGGATGTAACACTAGGGAGCAGGAGGAGCCCTGGAGCTGCAGCACTGCACAGAACCCTGAGCCCAGGCCATCCCCTGACCTGCTCTTCCCCCAAACTCTTGGAAAATAAGGTTACCTTGCTGATGGGACAGTATCTGGCAGAACATCCGAAACCAGCCAGCTGTTCCTGGCATGGTCTGGGCTGTGAGATAGGTGGCAGGGGAGATTTCTAGGCTGCTGAGGCGGTGGCTTCTCACCAGAAATGTGTGGCCTTCAAAGAAGATGGAGTGGACTTCTGGCCCAGAGCCCAGCCCGATCACATGCCAGTGGACCTGCTTCTTGAGGCACAGTGTGAGACCTGCCAGGGGACAAGGAAATCAGCCAGGAGTCAGCACTGTGCCCACTCTTGTCCCCACTCTTGGTGCCAAAGACTGAGAGTCAGACATAGAGTAGAGTAGAGTAGGGTAGAGTAGAGTAGAGTAGAGTCTGGTAGAGTCCCCTGCTCCTGTGCTGGCTTCAGGCTGGAGAAATCACACATAAATGTGGACTGAGCAAAACAGAGGCACTTGTCCCATCATCCCCCTGAGATAAGACTGGATTTACAGGCTGGGGGACTTTGGGAGGGTTGCTGGTAGGAGCTCACAGTGGTATGCAGTGGCAATAGAGAGAGATGTGCTCCTTGGCTCTGTAAACAGGGAAATTGGACAGGAGAGTCATTTGTCTGATCACAACACTGGCAAGCCTGATGCTAAAACATTGCATTTGGAGCAGGGCTTCAGCACATCCTCAGCAGTAGCTGAAATACCACAAAGGGCAGAGAGGGGTCAGCAGGATTATTTGAGTGCTGGAGAAAATTCCTTCCTCAGAGTCACTCAAAGAGCTCAGTGTGCTTAGGAAATGGGAAAGAGCTTGACTGTGTTGTAAAACTACTTTCCTGGGGAGAAACTGATATGTGCTGAAGGGCTCTGTAATCTAGCAGGGAAGTGAATAACAAGTTCATGGACACTCAAGCCAAACAAAGTCAAATACTCGCTTTTGGCAGAGTGCAGAGGTGACTGGAACAGATCCCAAGGGCCTGGAGGAAACTGGGTGGAGGCTCCATCCTGAGGCCCTCAGCTCTCCATTTCCAGCTCTCCATTTCCAGCTCTCCATTTCCAGCTCTCCATCAGACACCTCTCAGGTGCCAGGTCCTGTGTCCAGGGAGGGGGATAACTTCTCCAGGGAAAACTCACTGTGCAGAGATGGTGTTTGACCATGAGGCTTCCTCAGCTCTTGACCTCTATGAACCCATCAGGACAGGGAATTTAGGGGACTTTTGCTTTTTTTTGCTGGAGAATGGCCAGGCCCCAGTGGGAGGTTTTAGGATGTGGTTGACCAGAGCTGCTGGTGATAAGGACTCTCCTGACAGTGTTTCCCAGTTTGTCTTGGAGATTCCTCACTCTCAGGCAGCTCTGGATCTATTCCCAGAGAACACCAGAACACAGCAACTTTTGTGTCCACTGAGATCAAACCCAGCCTTTTCTTTTGCTCTTCTGAAGAAGAAGAGTCTGAGAGAAAACCTTGTCACTTTAGCTGCACCAGAGAAGTTTATGTCAGATACTGGGAAAATTTTCTTCACTGAAAGAGTTGTCAAACACTGGAACAGGCTGCCCAGGACTTATATATGTGACATGGTTCAGTGACATGGTTCAGTGGTAGACTTGGCAGTGTTAAGTTTACAGTTGGACTTGGTAATCTTAAGGGTCTTTTCCAACCTAAATGATTCCATGGTTCTATTCCCAAAATCCTATGAAGGTGATTTAATGAGAGCTAAATGGTACCTCCAGCCTTGTCTACAGGGCTACAAAAGATAAAACTCTGCTACCAGCATTATTCCTGGAGAGCTCCAAGGAAGTCAGCTGCACTTGGCAACACAGACAGCTGCAAACAGCTCCTGCCTTGCTGTAATGGGAAAGGCAGATCAAGGAGCTGAAAGATAAGACCCCCTCTGAGGTGAACACAGCCTAACAGATCCATCACCTGGATGGATCCTCTTAATCTCCTTTCCTTCCATCCTTTCCCAAGCTACCTCAGGGTTACAGACCTGGCTCCAGCCCTGCTTTTAGCAGCTCCCATGCCCCCAGCCCTGTCCCTGTCCCAGCAGGACTCACCAGGCAGTGAGCCATTGATGTAGCCATTGATGGTGTGCAGCTCTGTCCTGTTGTGAGCCTGGGGCTGAGCAGCTGCTGGGACAGAGCCCTGCTCAGAGTACCAGCTTTTCCCTGTGGAGAGAGGAGGGTGCAGTCAGCTTTCACTTGGGAGCATTTCAAAGCAAAATAAACCTTCTCATGTGTGGTGCCTGTGGGAATCCACAGCACACCTGGACATGGCTCTGCATGGGTGTGAGGATGACCACTACACATGACAGGGAATGACTCCCCTCTTAACCTGTGTGATGGGAGCAGGGCCAGGGCATGGCATGGCAGAGCTGGGGGGGCTGCAAGTTCCCTACACCTGGGGAAGAGAAGGAGGGGCAGTACTGCACCAGCAGCACACTGGCTGGGGGACTGGACAGGCAAAAACCCTTGGGAGGGGTGTGGGTGCTGAGAAGCTGTGCTCACATTAATTGAACACAAAGCAAATGCCCCAGACCCTGCTGAATGCAGGGTTTGACACCACTCAGTCAGCAATTACCTTCATCAAACACTGCGAAGAGCAACACAAACTCTTTCTGCAGGCCCTCATTCCCATCACTGGCCAGGGTCCCTGCAAGATGCAATGAGATGGATTTCTTTAAGGTCAGCAAGCAGCACCCAGGGAATTCCCTCTGTGCTCTTCAAGAACTGGTAAACCAAGGCCTGGCTGTGGTTTTTGCTTTTGTCACGTCTCAAATTGCAACAGCCCTGCTTCCAGTCTTGCAGTCCCCCAAAAGTCCATGGTTGAGAGGCAGCTGCCCCCAGAAGGCATCAAAAGGTCAATTTGTGGTGCCTCCCCTTAGACCTTTGCTCAGTGGAGAAGCTGCTCCTGGTGAGTCACTGGAGCCTGCAGACAGTGCCCAGTCATTTCCAGGTCTGGACAACTACCTCCAGGATATGTCTCAGCCACAGATGACAAATCTTACTCCAGTCACATCTTCTTGCACCTTGTGCTGTCAGAATTTCAATTCTGAACCCCAGCAGCACTTTTGTTGAGCACAGCTCACTGACTCCACTGCCCTGCTCACCCTCAGGAAGGCATCTGTGATTATTCTGCTTTTATGAATGGTTGCACGTGGCCTGTCCCCAGCCTGTGCAGTCCTTACCAGGTCGGCACACGAGCAGGGCTCCAATCAAGCCAGAGTTGATGTCCTTCACGCTGTTGGTGTTGGAGGAGTAGGAGTGGGTCAGGCACGCTGAGTCGTCGTCTGTCGGGCCCTGGTTTTCCTGGATTTCCCAGACATAGGTGTGTGTCCTCCCAGGATCCACCCTGTCCCCCTCCTTCTCTGGCTGGCTGGTCTCATCCTCATACCCTGCTCCTAAAACCAAAGACATGGCCAGATGTCACTGAAGGTCCAGCACACCTTCCTCCCAGCCAGAACAAAGCCCCTCTCCATCCCAGGGCAGTGAGCCCCACGGGCTGTGACAGGTCTCAGGGCAGCAGCAGAGCTGTGCCAGACTCACATGTTGGGCTGTGCACCTGCCCTGAGGCTGCACAGCACAGTTTTCCTTGCCCTAAGCATCCAGCCTTCAATTTAATCTGTTTATTACCTCTATAGCAGACCCAGGTTTGCTCTGCACTGTTTGCTCAGCTCATTTCTGGGCTGGGCATGGTCATGTTGCTCCCCCAAGCCAGGCCATCTCTGTGACCATCTGTCCTTGCAGAGGGACACGAACAGCAGGCTGAGGGAGGGATGCACACCTGGCAGGCAGGTGGCACACAAGGATTTGCAGCCCCTGATGCTGCCAGCTCACCTTCTGATGCCTTCCAGTAGGACACCCCAACAGCATGGAGGCTGTAGGGCCGGGAGGCCAGGTTCTTAAAGGTGATGACCACTGTGTCATGGACTTCTGCTCGGATGGTGGGGCCCAGGAGGCCTGAAGGGATAAGACAATAAGGTCAGGCAGCTGGAATCAGGCAGCTCATACCCTGCCAGAAGCCCCAAAGGGTCCTGCCTTTCCACAAGCCCAGTTAGTGGCTGTCCCTCGTGCAGCAGGGCAGCATCAGCTGCATCAGCTCCAGCAAGGCCCCCTGCACCCCAGGAGCTCTGCCATACCCAGCTGCTCTCCTGCTCCTGGCTGAAGAGCAGCCAGCACCCAACCCAGGATGAGTCTGGTGGCCGTGAAGGATTGCTGGAGCTCCCCACACTTCAGGTGTTTCTTACCCATCCATGCTGGCTTCAGCTTGGGCTGTGTGAAGGAGCCATCAGGGTACTCCACAAAAACAGCTTTCCTGTACTGGGGAGGGACACCAGCTGGGGGGGCACGTGGGCCTGCATGCCCCAAAATGCTGCAGGAGGAAGGAAAGACAAGGCTGATTGCACAGACCCATCCATGCATGGGGAACATCCAACATCCATCCCCTTCCTTCCCTTCCCACCAGTTCACTTGCTGGAGCCCCAGGGATTGCTCACCCTGCTGTGTCCTTTGGATTTCCTGACAGCTCCCAGGTATGATTGGGAATGTTTTGCTCAGCATACAGATGACAGCAGGGCAGTGATTATTGTTGTGGTGTTAGTCATGATGGAAGAAGACACAAGGCCAGACCCAGATGCAGCTGGGGCAGGGCACAGCAGCAGGCATTGCTGCCCATCTCCTGCCTTGTCCAGCTTCATGATTCCTTGGCAGCAGAGACAGAGCACTGGCAGTGCCATGGTGACCTCTGCCCTGCAGCCACCCCAACCCCAGCACCTTCGTGTGGCAATCAAATCACATCACTGTAACTCACATCCTCCCCAGCTCCCCCCTGGAAAGAGACTGCTGGCAGGTAGTGGCAGTTTGCTTTGTGTCTGAGCTATGTCCCCACATTTGTTTCTTTTCTGCCCAAAATGGGATTTCCACTTCACAGCAGGAAGATAAAGGAGCCTTGAATGTATTTCACACCCCACTTATCTCTGCTGGCCACTTTCTCTCTGTAAGAAGCTTAACAAATTCATTTTCCAGAAGGAATCCAGCCTGTTTATCAGGATAACAAGGGCATGAATTTCTTCAAGGATTTTAGAGGTTGCCTTATCAGCCCCAGGACTAAGACCATTTCCAGTAACCAGACAGACCTTTACAGCCTTGTTTTGTTTGGAGCAAAAGCCAGGTGGTGTTTTCTTCCCACTTAAGAAGCAGAGAAGGTTTGCTGTCGTGCTCTGACTAAGCCTTAATTCGAGCAGCATTTCCCTTTGCAACTCTTCCTCAAGTGGAAGAGGAAGGAGACAGAGTGACTCAAATTTAGGAAAGGCAATGCACACTCACCCCCACAACACTGGCTGGAAGCCACCTGCAGCTGGAGGGTGCTGTGGGGAGAGCAGGGTCCCCTCTCCTCAGGGGCAGAGCAGGATGGGAGCCCACGAAAACCCCACAGGCACCCAGCCCCTGTAACCCCACAGGCACCCAGCCCCTGTAACCCCACAGGCACCCAGTTCCTATAACCCCACAGGCACCCAGCCCCTATTACCCCACAGGCACCCAGTTCCTATAACCCCACAGGCTCCTGTAACCCCACAGGCACCCAGCCCCTATAACCCCACAGGCACCCAGCCCCTGCAACCCCACAGGCTCCTGTAACCCCACAGGCACCCAGCCCCTATAATAACCCCACAGGCACCCAGCCCCTGTAACCCCCCAGGCACCCAGCTCCTGTAACCCCACAGGCTCCTGTAACCCCACAGGCACCCAGCTCCTGTAACCCCACAGGCTCCTGTAACCCCACAGGCACCCAGCTCCTGTAACCCCAAACCCAAGCTGGCAGGAAGCCCCAGGAAGGAGGCACAGCCCCAGGGAGCAGACACAGCCCCAGGGAGCAGTGCCACTGCATTCTGTGACTTTGCCCATGCCCATTATCATTCCTGGCTTGATGGCACTGGGGTCCTGCCCCAGCTTTGCTCTCTCTCCACACTGGGAGGGAGCTGAGCTCAGGGCTGCTGACACTCGGCTGTCCACTCTCAGGAAGCTGTGCTTTAATCTCTAGCTCACAGAAAGCTCAAATTTGAGAATGCAGCTCTGAGATATGATGGTCTGGTCCTGCTAATTCTGCAGTAAACAAGGCAGAAACCCTCTGGAGCCAGGGAGATTCTGCTGGCATGCAGGGGCATGGCTGGGAGGGCTCTTAGTGACAGCAGGGCTCAGTGCTGGGTCCCAGTCCTGGCAGAGCAGAGCCCACAGGAGACAAGCAGGCGGGGTTCAGCCCAGGGATGTCTGATCAGACTCTTCTGGCCAGTCCTCTGTCACTGGGGTCCCCATGAACTTCCTTCCCCAGGGGCAGCTGGAGCTGAGGCAGGCCGATAAGTTTCTGGCACCTTGGATCAGCATTGTTAGGCACACTATCTGTTCATCTCTTGGAGCTGGGAGACATCCTGCACTGCCAAAACACTCAGACATGAGCTGCTGCTACGTGTCCACCAGCCCCATGTCTGAGCTGAGATCCCTGGAGCCACTGCAGCATGTGCTGGTCCTGGCTCTGACCCTGTGGTGGGGTTGTGCTTGGGAAGAAGAGAAACTGAAATCATGGGGAAGGTGTGAGCAGCTCTGGCCTGGTGTCTTGTAGCCCATTAATTTGACAGAGCTTTCTATAAACGTGCCAGAGAAAGCCCTGGATACACAGAGGGGGTTTGGAGGTCCTGGCTGGAGATGCCCCTTTGGAGCTGCCATGAGGTGCTGGCACACTGAGGTGTGGAGCAGAAGGCAGCACAGACACAGCTCAGGGACAGCCCAGCTCAGGGACAGCTCTGCCTGCCCACTACACTTTCCTGGCTCACTCCTGCATGCCCCTGACATCCAGCCTGGCTATTTTCCTGCGCCCTCCTCTGTAGCAGGGAACTGGGCTGAGGCTGCAGGGCCAGGGAAAAGGCACCACCATGCAGCTGGGAACAGCCATGAGGAGCAAGCCCTGGCTCCCATCAGCTTCCCCAGCAGCTGCACTGCCTAGGAGCTCTCTGCCTCTCCAGGCTGCAGCACACCAGCAAGCCCCTCTGAGACAGCCAATGTTATTTCCCCCCAATTTAGAGAAGGACAACTGCCATCACACTGCCTGCCAATGCCCCACTCATCTCCAGGCAGGGTCAGGTCCCTGAGTCACTCCAGGGTCAGGAATAGTGCCTGAGTGCATCATAAAGCCAGTGCTGAAATGGAAAGCCACAGGGCTAAATTAAGTGTGAGGGAAGTCATCACCTCTAGCACAGCCTAATGGATCTGAGGGCAACACCAGTGAAAGCAGGGCAGGGGGATCAGTAGAAGGGGGGGTGCTGGATGCAACTTTCCTACTGAAGTAATCAAAAGGGGAAGAAACAACATAGCTGGGGTACAGTGATTACAGCAGCTAGTCAGGCTGACCTGGGTCATCCCTAGAGCCTGGCTCTCAGTGCCTGACCACAGCTCCTCGCTGCTCAGGCCACTCTGGGTCTGAGATGGGATCATGGGCTGATTCTGCCTCAGCAGAGTCTGGGGAAGGGGAGATGGAACAAGGGCAGAGGGAATGGGCACACCTTGACCCACAGGGGTGTAGCCATCCAGCTCTATTCTCCGTGCCAACCTCAGAACATTCACAGCCATGCATGTCCAAGACAGCTGCATCTTCAGACAACACTATCCTGATGCCTGAGCAATGCAACTCCCATGTTTCCTTCCTACTTCAAAGTACACAGCAAAACAACCATGCCTTCCTCCTCCTTACCACTGTGCATGAATATCATGCTTTACCCAAATGCTACAAATCATTTTCATTTCCTTGAGGAAAAATTTCAGCGCCAGAAATGTAATGTACACAAAGATATAAATAACTAAAGCTGGGTTTTACCAGGGGCAGACACAGTGGAATGCCTTTGCTGCCCAGTTATGTTAGAGGGGCACAGCCAACCTTCTGCAGTGCCCAGGAGTCATAGGTGCCCATCTCCCCTCACACTTCCCCAAAGCCCCCAGGATGCAGAGCAGAAAAGCGAGCACAGGCTGGAAAATCAGCTCATGGCTCCTAGCACAGGCTTTAAGGGCTCCTAGGCAAATGGCATTAAGATAAAACAGTGCAGAACAGTGATGCAGAGCAGGTTTGCATCTTTCTCTCTCAATTCCACCTGTCCTTCATGAGGGGTTGCACTTAGTGACTCCCCAGCACACCAACCCTTCCCAGCTGTGCCAGCAGCTCCGTGCACCCACCCTGCCAGGTTACCCCCATGTCTGGAGCCAAGCTCCCAGTGCCACGTGCCAGGGTGGGAGAACACCCAGGGCAGGGCTCTAGACCTGCAAAAGGAAGAGCTTTACCCTGCAGGCGCTTGCAGCACGGACAGCAGGTCGCTGTGTGTGTAGTCCCAGCTGGTTTCCACTGCAGCTATGTAGTATCTTCTCACTTTGCTGATGCCCTCCTCAACCAGGCAGAGGAGCAGGAGGCTGCACAGGGCTCCCACCAGCACCATCCCTCCTGGCTGGGAACTGCTCTGACTTCAGGAAGAAAAGTGAAAAGGAAGGAATGAGAAAGAGAAGAGGAGAGAAAAGCCTTTATCTTCTCATCCAGCTGTTGTAATCCTCCGGAGATGATGATTAAAGGCAGCACCCACAGACTCACTTGGAGCACTGAAGAGTTTCTCAAAGGTGTCAGGAGGGGAATGTCTTGAGCAGGTTTGTGCAGAGAGCAGCATGTGACTGGTGGACTCTCCTGCTCTTCCTCTGGCAGTGGCAGGAGGAGAGGAAAAAACAAAAGGAAAGGGAGGGCAAGCACAGCGGTAAGTTCCGCTGGCTCCGTGTCCTGGCTCCTGGCTGGGAGCAAGATGAGGAAAGGGAGGGTTCCACAGGCAGCAGAATTTAGGTGTGGTCTTTGCCTGGTCTCACCTTCTGTGTCACCTCTGAAGAGAAGGAGAGCAGGTTGCCAGGGATGCAGATGTACACACGTGACTTATCCCCGTCTCTGGGATGCCCAACAGTGATGATGTGGCCACACAACCTTGCCTCAAGCCACATGGGAGGGAGTGGGTTGGGATGATCCCTGGAGCTCCCTTCCCACCAGCTGCTCCTCTTCTCCCAGGGTCCTGCAGTAGAGCTCAGAGAAGATGCACTGAAATGTTTTTAGAAATTTCTTTCATTTTACTCACAAACTTTCAATCTCTGTTTTTAAAAGCCCATGAAATCCCCCTCCCCTCATCAGTGCACACACACGTGTGCTCAGGCACACACACTGCCACGTGGTTGTCCCTTGGCTCAGGGAGGCAGGAAGATGAGGAGGAACGCCCTGCATGGTCCCAGCATCCCCTGGATGAGTGAGGTGGGGAAATGTCCCATAAATCATGTCACAGGGCAGCAGGAGTGCAACGGGGCCAGTGACCCCTTTGGTGACAGCCCCAGTGTGTGCAGAAGACTCCATGTGACAGGTCTTGGTGACTGGGAAACAGAGGGACACAGAGGGATGGGCTTTTGGGGGTCTCTGACATGAATACTCAGCACAGGGCAGAAATTGATTCCCCCACACCACCCACCTTGCTCCTGGGGAGGCAAAGAGTGAGTAAGAAACATTTTCTCCAGCTTGTACATGCACAGCTGGCTCCATGACTAACCTGGGGCTCCTTTTCTTTGTGAGCAACAACTCACCTCACTTTTTCCAGCAAGTATTTTAGGGCAAAGCAAGTGGTGTGTCACGTTTGGGGATGCCCCAGGGTGCTCTGCATCCTGCCCTACTGCAGTGAAGCAGAGGAGTACTCAATACTGGAAGGAAGAGAGGTATGGGAGATCTGGGCTGTGCCTCAGGCACCAGTGTCCCCTGCTATGGATGTGACTTTGTTTTAGTCATCCCATCTGGGAATCTCCTGCCGCTGTGAGACTCATCTGGAAAGGCTTCTAGGAACAAGCAGATGGGGAAAACATTGCCAGGCAGACAACATGACCATAAAGAGGGCAGCTGAGGGGTGGCAGCAGGGGATGGGCATGTGGGAGGTTGGGACAGGCTGCCAGGAGGGGTGGTCCAGCTCTGGGTGCCAGAGTTCTGCATGGGGCAGCACAGAAACTTCTTGGCTCTAACCCTGGCAGGGATGCTCTGGGCACCATGGGATGACAACAGCTTGAGGTCACAGAGGACAGTCAGGAACAGCATCCTGGGGGCTGCAGTGGCAGGAGCCTGGACACAGTCAGAAATTAATGGTTGTGGCACTGACAAGTGCTGAATTAACCATTTTCAGCTACTGGGAGGCAGGTCCATGTTCCTGGCCCAGGGAAATAAGAGTAAACCTGAGAAACGAGGTCTAACCCAGGAGGCCAGAGAGAAAATATTATCAAGATACTCAAGGCTTTGGGAAAGGGAATCCAGGTGTGACAATTGGAAGTAACTTGGGGAGGGGGCCCAGATGCTGGCCTTAGCTGCACACAGCAGCAGCAGCAGCATTGTGCAGGCACACAAGAGCCAGTGTGGAGCAAATCAGGCCAAGGACAGCTGGACATGCAGAGGGAGCCCAGCTCCTCCTTGGCCCAGCACACCCAGCTGAACCCCAAAGGCTCCAGCAAGAGCAAGCATGGTCCCAGCCAGTGGGTGCCATTAGCAGCTGTGCAGCTTCCAAGGGCTCTGCACACCCATGTGGGAGCCTCTGCAAACTGTCAGCTACACCCATGGCTGGGCCAGGCAGCAGCTGTGCCTTTGAGAAAGCTGCAGAGAGGCACTGGCATTCCAGTCCTGCCTGGAGTTCATCTGCCCTCCCCAAGGGCACTGTCCTCCTGTGCAAATGTGATGGAAAAGCCACGACAGGCTCCTGCCATGGAGACTCCCAGAGAACGTCTTTTGCCAGAGCCAAGGACCCACATGCACGCAGAAAGGGCTGTTTGTTTCCCTGAAATGTGCACTTCTCAGAACAATAAAATAAATGTTCTCAGAACTGCAGCAGATAAAAATTAGTCAGAATCATTTGAACCATATCTAATCTCTTCTGGAACTTTTTTTGTGTGTGTGTGTGAGAGAGAACAAGTGATTCGTGACAGCATCTCAGGAACACTGAGCAGCTCAGAAGCAGCAGCCATGCACAGGGCACTCACCCTCCCTGGCAGCAGGAAAATGGCTGTGCCACATGGCACAGATCTGTCTGGAGGACCAGGCAGGGCCCCTCATATCAGCACTTCCAAATTACTGCACCCCAGCACAGATGGAGCAAAGAGGGGCTGCAGCCCAGTACAGTTCTTGATGGGGAAACTCACAGGCACAGGGACGCCCAGGGAACAGCAGTGCAGCAGGGCTGATGCCAACACCCCTGAATCTCCAGAAAATCCATCCCTGATGGACCTACCCTAGCATCAGAGTGGAAATACTGCCATGGAGGAGGTCCCAAAACTAAGCCTGCTTTCCTCTGCTGGGTTTCCCTGCAGCAAGTGGGTCAGTGGAGCATTTCTGCTCTCTCTCTTGTTCCTCACATCAGAGGTGTCTCTGAATGAGTCAGGCAGCAGAAACACTCTCTGGAAGCTCCCATGGGCTGGTAGGCTTAGCCTGGCCATGGAGGCTGGAAGGTTGTGGTGGTGCCAGGAGGGAGAGAAAGCCTTTGAGACAGGGAATGGTGTTTCATGCCTGTGCCTCCAAAGCTGAACAGCAGGAAGGCCTGGCAGGGAGCTGCAGTGGCTGTGGGCTGCTGAGGGGCTGGGCTCTGTCCTTGCACCCACCACACCAGGCTGTGCCTGACCCCACCACACAGGAGCTCTCAGCCCTGAACCACCTCCACCTTGTCATCCTGCTGGAGGAAGCTGAGCAGCTTCACCAGATGAAGGTGCACATGTGCTAGGAAAGATGAGGCCATGCTGCAGATACCCAGGTCATCAGATGCCCCTGGCATCATCTGCAGCAGAGCCCACAGCTGGAGGTACCAAAGGAGACCTGCCTGGCCCCAGGGCATGAGGGCATCCCTTTGCTCAGGGCAGAGGAGACAAAACCAAGGACATTTGCTGGACAAGGATGGAAGCCTGTCATGTACCAGACATGCAGGAGATCCCAGCACCACCTGACACTGGTGCTCAGATTGGATTTCTAGAGGCCAACTTGCCTCCAGCCATCCCTTCCCCAGCCACATCTTTTCCTCCTGTTCCCAGGGAAGTGCTGTCGTGTCAGTTTGGTCTGAATGCACACACTGCTCCAGCCAGTTCCCCCTCATCAGGGCAGTGCAGGAAACACGAGGGACCTTCCTGGAAACACGTGGGACATTCCTGCAGTTCCCAAAAGCAGTTCCCAAAACCTCCGACCTACGTGCAAGGGGTAACGAGGTGCTGGGATGTTTACTAGCAGGATGTCCTCACCAGGGCACATGAGTGCTGCTGTTAGTTCCTAGAAGTGTTTGGTTCCTAGAAGAGTGTTTGTTTGTTCCCCTACCCATCCCACGCCACCTGCACTCCTGCTGCCACTCACACACTGCTTTCCATTAACCCCAAATGAGGGTCAAGTCTCCTCTGTCACAATCTCTCCATGATTTTTGTTGTTGTTGTTGTGTCTCGGGATTTCCATCTTTGCTACACCCTGGGCAGCTTCCCCAGCTGGGAATTAGGTGGCATTTGTTCTTCAGGAGCTCAAGTGATTAATGGCTCCGAAATCAGACGTGTCATTATTTTAGGGGAAACACTAAAATGTTAAAAATGTTTAAAAAATGGCAAAACTAACAGGCAGTATGTCCAAGGTGCCCAGATCAGCTCCGGAGCAGAGGCACAGCAGGCCTGTGTGTGCTGGCTGAATGCACTGCAGCAGGGCCCCCGTGCAGCTCCCAGCACACCTGAGCTCGTGTGCCCGGCTGCTCAGTGCCCAGGGTACCGGAGGGCCTGGGGTCCTTCCAGCGGATGGCAAAACGCGTGTGCAGCCAAGCAAGAGCTCCCATCTCAGAGGGAGCAAACCACCGTGGGCTTTAGGAACGCCTTTGTCCCGCCCTGGATGCCGCTGGAGCAGCGCTGTTACCGCACAGCCGAGCCGCTCGGGCGGGAGCGCCAACGACCCCACGGACAGCGGGGCCGAGGGCCCCCAGGAGCCGCTCCGGGGCCGCGATGCTGCTGCAGCACCGGGCACCTTGCAGGGGGAGCACCGAGGGCATCACCGGGACACGGCCGAGGGTATCACCGGGACATCGCTGAGGGCACAACCGAGGGCATCCCCGGGACACAGCCGAGGGCACAATTGAGAGCACCACCGGGACACAGCCGAGGGCACGGCCAGGGCCCGGGCGCGCCCCGTGCACGGCCACGGCCCCGCTGCCCCCATGAGCGCTCCCCTTCCTCCCCTTGCGCCCCTTTCCCCTCGGGCCCCTCTTTCTTCCTTCCCGCCCCTCTCTCCCGACCCGCCTCTCCGCGTGCCCGCCCCTCTCCCCGCCCCTGTCCCGCCCGTCTCTCCCGTTCCCTCTCTCCCGTTCCCTCTCTCCCGGTCCCTCTCCCCCGGCCCCGCTGCCGCGCGCTCCCGGTGACGCGCGCCGTGCCCGCGCCT